ATGCGATCACAAGTTCGTCAAGGAATTGCCTGCAGCTCCACGTTGACCATGATCAGAAGCGGAGTTGAATTCATAGGATGACATAGTACACATAGTGACACAAGTTGTTGTGACACATGTGATCGACAATACGAGGACTTTTCCAGTGACTGCGGACTGCTGGATTCGATTGGCTGGAGCACCTGCAGAGGGATACCAAATTTAGACCCTGCGTGTCAAACCCGATCAATTAGGCCCCGAAAAGTCACACACACACACTGGGGTTCAACTTCTATATGATTCAATGGGACTTCAAGCTTCGTCATGGCGCACGGGTTTTGGAGTTTGATCTAGGTCCTCAACTGGTGGGACCTTGAGCACTGTTCTGTCAGCACTTGGTTTGATTGCCAGCCCCCTGATGATCGATTTGTTCAATCTGGCAACCATCCAATCGCAATGGTGATGCGTAAGATTACACCTCTGGGATCCGTCTTAGAAGCTGGTCCTTACAAGTGTACCCCACGTCCCTTGCAAGCCCCTCGTGAAAGAATGGCAGAAATTTATTGTGTTAATTGGCAGAGGCACAAGTGCAAATGCTTAACAAACTATATTATTCTTTTGCAGTGAGCATAGATTCAATTCATATCAATATTATATATACTACAATTAAATAAATAAATACATCAATAAATAATATATATATATATAATATATATCATAAACACATAACATCAGTGCCTTGCTTTACTGGGCACGTGTCGCGCCACGGCTCCCTTGGCGATGGCTAAGGTTCCCAGCCCAGGAAATGGACAACCAACTGAGAAAGCCTCCCATGGAGCTACGGGTACCACATGTCGCATGAGGCATTGATGCAACAAAGTGAAAATGCCACGTCTTATTACTCTCTGGTAATTTAACGTAGCTATTGAAAATGGCCATTAATAGTGGATTTTCCCATTAAAAAAAATTGATTTTCCATAGCTATGTTAATTTACCAGAGGGTATTTTCTATTGCACGTAAAATGAATACCTGGTGAATCTGCTGGGAATCGTTTCTGTGTTGAACACAGCTTGGAGTAGTCTGACATGCGTCCGATCAAGAAGAAGTCAGCAAGATGGAGGTTCAGAAAAGAGTCCTTGTTCGAAAGTCCTTGAAAACATCCTTATTCTTTCTTTCTGCGTGTTTTTTTGAATGGCACTCACATGAAAATGCACATAGTCTCAACCCTGGATTAATAAACATAATAAATCCTGTTGGCTCGTTACCATAGGGGTTGCCCCAAAAGAGTCCTAAACTATTTCAATGTTCCGCTCAATTACAGTAAATATATGTAAATATACACTATAAGAAATCTAATTAAATCCATTAAAGTTGGTACACACCTGTTAGTAAACTGGTTCTTGAATAATCCTTAGCCGTAAAATACCTTAAACATCATGAAACTCTACGCCAAGGTATGCAGACCTTTAAAAAAAAAAACGGTGCCTTGTCGCCAGACTTTTGTCTCCGCATCCATGTCTTCCACCTCGCTGGTTGATGATGCTGGTGCCAGAAGTACATGGCTTCTTGACACTTCAAGCAGGGCAAACAAAGGCCTTACTAAATGCGATTTCAATAGTTGTTAATCTTCATAGAAGTATATATAATGAGCAGTTCCATGAGAAATGGCCAGAACGTGCACAATGACAACTCGAACATCAGCATCATTATCAGCAAATCATTATGAACAATGGCAGATACAGTGGCTCAAACTGGACCTTATAACTTAGAACTTCAACATACTTCACCCACATTGATGGTTCCACCTTACTTTCTCCAGCTTCCCCACCATGAGCCCAGCCTTCTGCCCAGCCGCCAACTTGGAATCGAAGCCGGGGGTGCCTCAACCGGGTTGATCCTGAAACTCAACACGTAGGACCTTCCAAAAGGTACCGAAAGCGCAGACAAACGTAGTTGATGTTCAACTTCATCCTAATGGTTCAAATACTCTAAAATTGATGAAATGATCGCAAATCATACTAGATCAATCAGGCCATGGCCCAACTACTCCCGGCTATATGAAGCACTTAAATAGCACTTAAGTTCTTTTGCCAGGCAGAAGAAGTGACTGGTACACGATGCGTTCTGCGGCCCAGAGCGGACCAACATCTGACAGTGAGAATTTCTTGATCGTTGCCTCAAGAAATATTCTACTCCCAAATGGAATCAATTCCTCAACACCTTGCACTTCATGGCTCGGTATGTTTGAAACATCTGAGTCTTTGTACCGCCTATATCATCTAATGTTGGTGAAGCAAGAGGTTTTTACCATCCCCATTTTTTGAACAAAATCATGGGTGGTCAAGCCATCAGAATATATCAAAATATGGGGTAGTTGATTGTTGCTTTAACATCATGTTTGATATCCTCCATATTTTGATGGAGGATATCATGTTTGATGGGTAGAATATCAAATATCCTCCAGCAGTGTATGGCTTTACAAACATGATATCCTCCATCAAAGGATCCGTGAAAAAACATCAAAGCGACTGGGGTGCCCTGACGCTTCGTCATGCCACGCACAATGAGGCTCACCTGAGATGGGAGGACCCTGAAGCCATCGGATCTTCATACCCTCTGGTAATTTAACATATAGCTGTTGAAAATGACCATTTATATCCATTTATAGTGGATTTTCCATGATTTTCCCACTAAAGATGGTGATTTTCCATAGTTTTTTGTATGTTTACGAGAGGCTACCTCCACCGGGAGACTATCGTGGGCCCGACTGAAACCACATAGATCACCGCGTAGCAGCCCAGGACCATCCACCTGGAGACCCAGGATTCCACTGTAGTTCACATGAATGACATATCATATAATATAAAATGATATGAGTTAAAATAATGTAATATTATATTATATATATTATATTAAAATATTAATATAATATAACATAATATAATATAATATAATATATAATGTATCAGATGCTTCTGGCTCTGAAGGGTGATTACAATCCATTACAAGAAAAAATGCAGAAAAATCATCAGGAAACATCATAAATTATGCGTTATTTATTTACATCATCCCAACGATCAGAAACTATCACGGGAAACATTGGAACAAAAAAACACCTCTCATACACATCGAAAGGTTGTATATAAAGATTATAGGGCATTCTATAAATATCTATAAATCAAAAAGAAAATTAAAGAAAATCAAAGAAAATCAGCAATCCCCAAGAAATCTGCAATTTTTGTCACCAAGACAGTGGAATTTCCACCTTGAAACGACCCCCCTTTGGGCCACTCAATGGCCATCCTGGGCTCTCCCAGCTCTGAGCGAATCATGGCCTCCTCAGCCTGACATGGATGATGGATGATCTACCGGTAAACATACAAAAAGCTATTGAACATTGTAACATGGCCATAGAAATAGTGGATTTACCCATAAAGAAATGTGATTTTCCATAGTTTTTTGTATGTTTACCGGAAGGTATATGTTTTTTAAGATTTTTTTTCTGCATCTCAACCTACAGATTTACACGATTTATCTCTATGTATCATGAAATACCTACTGAGAAATATTGGGAAGAATGGTGATTGTCCATATTATGTGAAAATCATGGGAAGGTAACCCGCCAAGTTCGGTGACCCTGCTACTGCAGTAGTAAAGATACTACTTTAATAGCTGGTCAAGACTCGCCTTGTTGTTAGAAACCCCAGGTAAAGCCAAAACCCAAATGGTGGAAAAAAGGATGAAAAACACTTTTGAAAGCATCTTTCGGTTAAGTATTATGTCTCCCCTCGCAACCCTTGCCAATTTTCTTGGAACAGGAAACATGGGAATTCCCGTGCTATATCATCCATCAAGTCATGCTTCCCAGGGTTTTAATGTTTTTGCAAACTATCAGTGGATCGTGCTTGCTTGGTATGTCCCAAAGAGCAAGATCGTCAACCAAAAAGGCCTGGCAACAAGCACCAACAGATAGATTCAGCCAGTCATGTAGTGAAAGACCATCATGGACCATCCATCCCAAAACGGATCTTTCTGGGGCCCAAATAAGGCAAGCAATGGCGACGTTTTGCGTTCATCTTTTGAAGAAACAACTGGTGCTCAAGTTACAGCGAAGCAAAAAGATATGGCTGCTTTTGCCGTGCTCTCATATATCCTGTATCATGTATTCATACATATATATATATTTATTTATTGGTTTATTTATTTACATTATATTGAATATATTATTAATCAATTAAATATAATTATATATACATATATAATAAAAAAATAGATTATATACATATATGTATATATAAATATTATAATATAACACATATATATATATATGTATAATATATATATATATACAAAACATATGATTTTATATATAATATATATATAATATAATATATATATTATATATATTATATTATATATATTATATTATATATATATTATATATATTATATTATATTATATTATATTATATTATATATACATACTATATATATATATTATATTATATTAGATTAGATTAGATTAGATTAGATTATATAATATATATATATATATATTATATTTATATATATTATATATATATTTTATATATAATATATTATATTTATATATCATATATATTTATTATATATTATCATTATATACTATATACATATATATATATTGAAAATTCCAACATGTGCTTCATATAGCTCTGCATGTTCCAGCCAGGTCCAATGTCATGTTGGCATCTATGCTGTTGCCTCTATTTGCCCGAGGGGCCCCTTGTGCCTGTTTTCAGGCTCGGATCTTTCGATGTGTGGCGCAATGGAAAAGTGACGCTGGTGCGTGATCCGAATTGGTGTGAGGGTTTACATTCCCTATTACAACCCAGTTGAATACTTCAACTCCATCTACCATTTCCGCATGGTAGCGGAGCCGTGCTCCATCCTGGACCGGCTACCGTGAGGACATCCGTCCTATCCTGGTGAGGACATCCGTCCTTTGACCTTTAGGTCGCCTGCGGCTATCTAGCCGACCAATGGCGTTGGATCAGAAAGATGCCTTTCGTGATTTACAATTCAATGGTCAGCCTTCTGGTTACAGGGATTTTAGAAGAAAAACATTGTTAGCTGTTGCTGGATTAGAGGACAAGCATGCTCATCTGGCGGGTCCAAGACTGTTGGCCCGTTTATCTGGAGAAGCTTGGCGTGCTACCGAGCACCTACCCATCAATCAGATCAGAAGCCCTGACGGCTGGCTTGCAGTGATCAAAGCCTTGGACGATCACTACAGGTACTTGCCAGAGACTGAATTGCACGAGGCCATCGAAGAGTTCCTCTTTCAACTGAAGCGCCGCAATGGCGAAGGCGCTACATCTTTCTCATCCCGTTTCCGAACACAGCTGGATAGGGTTCAGACCTTGATTGCACAGGAGAGGGAATTAGCTAGAAAGAAACGTAGGAAGAAGGATTCTGGAAAAGACGCCGCTTCCAGCAGTCTGGAAGAAACTGACATGAGTGATGGTGCAGGCTCCTATGGCACTGCACGTGGCCCGGCTCCATCAGCCGATGCTGAGCCCCAGGTCCAACCAAGGACACCTCCTGAGACTGGCGATGAACAAGAGCCAACTGCAGGTGGTGCCGCTGCAGCTGCTGAACCTCAAGAAGAAGGTCGAGCTAGATCAGAGAAGGCCAGATCTGAACGATCGGCATCCAAAGCCCCATCATCTCATCGAGAATCTCATGGCCAAAAGAAGCGACATGGTTCAACACTTTCTCATGGAACTTTTCATGAAGATCATGCGAAAAGTTTGAGGAAAATGCAACATATGCTGGGCACACTGGAACCCGGTAAGTTGAAACCTACTCCAATTTTTCCACAAAGTGTTTTGGGCCATCTCTACATGCGAAAGTTTGGAATGTCACGTGAACAAAGAGCACAAATCATCAGGGCGACAAATGGATCCTCAAGATTCACTGATGTGGAGCGTATCATGCGCGCTTCGGACTTGGAGGAAACAAGAGGTGAAGATCGTCGTCAGATGAAAACCGGAAAACGCGATGCCTATGTGGTGACGCAGAAACATGGCAAACAACAGATCTACATGGCTGAGGATGAGGATTCTTCCGAGTTGGTAGACTATGAGGACGAATCTAGTGAAACTGCTGAGGATGAAATCATGGTTGCTGAGGGCAGCGATGACTCTGATGCTGAAGAAGCCCAAGAGATCTTAGAGATTCACAAGAAGACCAAGGAGAAATTCCGAAAAGCTTTCAGATCTTACAAAGAGTCTCGGAAGAAGGTGAAAGAAATCAGAAAAGGTCGTCAGCCGTATTATCCTGTAGTTGCACTGAATCAGCCTCCTTCAGAAGCTCCTGCATCATCGACACAGGTGCCTTTGCAGAAACAACAGTTCAAGTATGATCGGAAAACTGCTGGAAATGCAAAGGGTGCTCCAAAGAAACGTCCTGACCAGAAGGGATCCCGAAAAGAAGAAGCAAATTTGACTGAAACATCGTTTATTACATCATTCAACTACATGGTGGAGACCAACAACACAGCATTTTCAGAGGAAATCTTGTTGACAAGCATCCCCATGGGTTTTGCAATTTTGGATGCTGGATGTACAACATCGGTCATTGGTCAGGAATGTGCAGAACGTTTGATTGAGTTTTTGAAGAATCATCAACTTCCACTTCCAGAAGAAAAGGTTTTACCTCCTGTTGAACTGAAAGGATTTTCTGGTGAGGCCACTACAACGACTCGTGGTTTAATCTGGTACGTCAAGCTGGGTAACACATGGGGAACCATTTCAACCTATGTTATTCCTGGGAAGACTGCATTCCTGTTATCACGAAGAGTTTTGGAGGGAATGGATGCTCAGATTCATGTTGGTCGCAAGACGCTGTCATCAGAAAAGCATGGTATTTCTGAGATGTCCCTGCGACAAGCCTCCAACGGTCACCTTCTGATGCCTTTATGGGAGTTGCCTGATGATTGGAATGTTGGTGAAGTACATCTAGAAGAAGTAGCGCACGATGAATCTAGCCATGAATCTCAACCCGAAGAACATGAGCCCAATCACCTGCCAACTGCAGCAAGCCCGCATGAGTCTGCAGTCCAACGAGCAGAGGACAGCCGTGCTGCCAGCCCCATGGGTGGCAGTCCAAAAGCCAAAAATACCCCTGGTAAGAAAGGTCCCGTAAAAGAAGGGGATAAGAATAAGAATAAATGGGGTAAAAGAGATAAGGGGATAACTATGAATGATAAAAGAAGCGCACTGCAGCATGTTGCCAAAAACACTAAGAAAGGGATGGTGGATATCCAAGAGATGAAAGAATCCCTGAAAACTATTTTTGGTGGTACAACCAGTGCTGAAATCACACATGCTTTCATAGCTTATCGCACACGGTTGGAAAGAATCCCAGTAAAAGCCGGAGAAGTTGACATGTTGTGTTCCATGGTAACACTGAGTAAAGAAGGTGAATACGCAGAAATGCCATGGTTTGTTCGCCCAAAGGGTGCCATCCGTCGAGGAGTCCAGCAAGTCAATTTAGCCCTGTTTGCATACCGTGAGTCGCAGCCAGACAGTGCCGTTCCTAAAACCACTGAGGAACATCCGTGCATCTGCTGTTGTGAACATGACGCCATCCAGTCATCCGAGTCGCATGATTGTCATGTCCCTGGTTTAGAAGTGTTGTATGAAGAGCTTGATTGGTCCCAACCACAAAATGGGAAAATACCCCCAGAAGGAATAGAAGCTATAAAGAAGGGTATCCAATCTCTTAGAAAAACCAGCTCACAGATGCTCCTCTCACGAGTTCTCAGTGAACCGGATGTAGTGGAACGAGACTTACATGCATGGCTTGGACCACAGGCCTACAAGTTGAAGCAGCCTGTCTCCATGATCGAGGTTTTCACAGATGTTGCACCACTTGCCAGCCAAATGGAAGTTCAGTCGCAGCAGAATGTGATTAGGATAGGGTTAAGCCACGGTCAAAACCTCGACCGATTGAGAGATAGACAGCTCCTGTTATGCCTGATTGCCTGGACACGGCCCCGTCACATTTGGTACAGCTGGCCTTGCGGAGACTGGGGACCATGGAGTCGCCTTAATATGTCTAGGAGCCATGAACTGAAGGAAGAAATCATGAGCCGAAGACAGAAGCACCGACGGTACCTCCGAACAGTCCAAGAAGCATGGAATCTTCAGAACATTCTTGGTGGATTTAATAGCTGTGAGAACCCATTGAGTTCCGATGCATGGAAAGAGCTTGACTTAGGTGAAGTTTTTGACATTCGTGTCGATCAATGTGCCATGGGTCTCAGGTGTCCAAAGTCAAATTATCCTGTCCTCAAGCCTACTCGGATTGTGACAACATCGCCATGTCTTGCCAAAGCACTTCAAACATGTAGATGCGATGGAAGACATGAGCATGCACATCTTGAGGGGAAATATAAGGGACGTAATTTGTCTTCATGGGCTGAAATATACCCCAAGAAATTCTGTAGGATTGTCTCCAAAGCCTTGGTCCAAGAGTCCCTGCAGTCCGACCAACCCAGTGGTCATTGGTCTGAAGAACTGTTTGCCGCTGAGCCATCCGAGCAAGTTGACGCACCTGATTCGGAGGGCGGTCAAATAGTTGAGATAACTGAAGATAAGGCCAAAGCCATCATAGCCAAACTGCATGTGAACACAGGACATGCCTCTCCGGAACAGATGTTGCGCCTTGCAAACCGATGCCAGTCTTCCGAGACCATCAAACGGGTCATTCGTAACTTCAAGTGCTCAGTCTGCGAAGAACTCAAGGTTCCAACAGTTCGCCGAAAAGCCACAATGCCTCACACTGACAAGCCTAACCAGGTCGTTGGTATCGACTATGTTCAGGTTGAACTTACAAAAGATGATGGTGAAGGCAATGAGATTGAGCACAAGTTCAATGTCCTGACCTGCGTTTGCTTGGCCACAGATTTTGCACAGCAAATAATAGTGCCGCCTGGACCAAATGCCTTGTCCAAAGCTTTTCACCAAGCCTGGACGCGTGCCTATGGAGCGCCTGAGATAGTGTATATGGACCCAACATACATATCATTGTCAAAGGACTTCCAAAGATATCTTAACCAGCATGATATCAAGTTGTTGCACTGCGCTGCAGAGTCACACTGGCAGCTTGGCCGATTGGAAATCGCCAACAGGGTCTTACGAGGCATGGCACAAAGGTGTTGGAGGACGTCTTCACGACCAGCCGAGGAGGTTATCGAAGCTTGTGCATCCGTCAGGAATCAACAAATGAGGAAAAATGGTTTTTCCCCTGCACAATGGTTCTTGGGTCATGACATTCGTATTCCCGGTTGGCTTGGTGATGTTTCCGAACAAAGGAATTTTCCAACACAGTCTCAAATCCTGTCCGATGTCACGTTTGCCGATAGACTTCGTCTCAAGGAGGAAGCCTCAAAAGCTTTCATAGAAGAGCATGCCAAAGATGTCTGGCGCCGTGCCATCATGGGTAGGAATAGGCCAATGAGGGGACCCTATCAAGTAGGCCAACTTGTTTACTTGTTTAGAAAGTGGGGTGCCGGTCAGCTCAGAACACGTTTTGGTGTTTGGCTAGGTCCTGGAAAAATCATCGGTGTCGAAAGTTCTCAAGGTCACCATGTTCCAAGAGTTGTCTGGGTAGTGTACAACGGCTACCTTTACCGATGTTCTCCAGAATCACTGAGACCAGTCCCTGAAGACGAAGACACATTCAGAGAGCTTGCACGAAGCCTTGCCGAAGGTAAGCTACATCCCGATGTCATCGAAGCTGAACAGTCTGCGATCAAACCTGCTGGTTCCTTTAAGGATCTCATGGATGAAGTGCCAGACGATGCTGACTTCGAACTCACCTCTGACCTGGAAGATGAACCTGATGATAAGTTGGGTAAGGGGGTAAAGCGTAGCATAGAGGGCGAGGGTGAGCTTAGAAGGGTGTCACAACGTTTCTACAGGAGCCCTGAATATTGGCGTAACCGGTCAATGGGTATGCCACCACTCGGTGCCAAGCAAGAAGGAGTTTTGCCTGAACTTGTGTCGTTGGAAAACATGGGGGATATGCCAGTCTCTAAAAGAGTAAGAATAGATGAGGAACAACCTGAAGAGTTAGAATATGAACCATCTATTGCTCCCACTGAAGAGCTGCAAAACCCAAGTGACGCAGTGATGGATGAAACGGATCCACCAATGGAACCAGACCTCACGCAAGCTGCAAGCTCCGAAGCCATGCCGAATGCTGCACCAGCCGATGCAGTTCCGTCCACCATGGACAATGATGGTGATGTTGTCATGCCCCATGAAGTCCCAGTGCCTGATGATGAAGAAGGACTTCTGACCGAAACCAACACTGCCGAAGTCTTAGAGGTATCCATGGATGTCCATCCCGAGGACATTACAAACAACCCACTATGTCTGTTTTCTGTTTTGGATGAGTGCCTTCAAGTAGCCAACACACAAGCAGCCAAAAGACGTGTTGAGGTTTCCTTGCGTAAGCTGAGTAAAGAAGATAGAGCCCTTTTTGAAAAAGCTATGCAAAAAGAATGGCAATCTTGGGTAGAAAACAGAGTGATGTCGTTGTGTAAAAGACGTGGAATAAACCCCGAAAAGATAATCAGAGCACGATGGGTGTTGGTATGGAAGAAAAGTAGTGATCCCGATGTGAAGACAAAAACACCGAAAGCTAGACTAGTCCTTGTAGGATGGCAGGATCCAGAGTTAGGAAAGATAGCCACTGACAGTCCCACCTTGAGAAAAGATTCAAAAAGTTTGGTCCTTTCAATTTGTGCGGCAATGCGCTGGAAACTCTGGGGAGCTGACATCAAAACAGCGTTTTTGAGCGGCGATGCATCCACACGTGAACTTTATTTTAAGCCTCCACCCGAGATCAAGGAATGGATGTCGTTGACCGACGACGATCTATACCGCCTTGAAAAGGCAGCTTATGGACTTGCCGAGGCCCCGAGAGCTTGGTTCTTAAGACTTTCAAGAGAGATGGACGAAGCTGGACTCTCCCGATCCAGTTTAGACCCATGTCTGTTCTACTTGAGGGTAAATGGCCAATTAAAAGGGGTATGCGGGGTTCATGTTGATGACCTATTGGGAGGTGGTTGCCCTGAAATGGATGAAGTTCTCAAAAGACTACGTTCCAAGTTGCCATTTGGTGATTTTCGCACATTTACCATACGGTATACGGGGATCGAAGTAAGACAAGACCCACAAACCTACTGCATAGAAATTGGTCAGGAAAATTACATAGACTCCTTGGAACCTGTGAGTACAAAAGCCTTGGGAAGTGCTGGGACGCCTTTAAAAGATGCAAGTATCCTGAGAACTTGCGCAGGCCAACTAGCTTGGGTGTCAAATGCGACACGCCCAGACCAAAGTTTCTTGTCATCCTATTTACAGGGGGTTCAAGATAAAGGCCAAGTTTCCCATGTTCAAATGTATAACAAAGCTCTTAGGGAGATGAAAGAGAGAAAGGTGTGCCTGAAGTTTCCAAGCACCGTAGAAATTGAGGATTGGCGCATAATATGCATTTCGGACTCAGGTTGGGGAACCAGAAGCAGTGGGGAAAGTCAAGGGGGTTACATCCTATGTTTGGCTCATAAGTCAATTCTTGAGAGGAAGCGTGCACCATGCTGGATCATTGACTGGGCTAGCAAAAAGCTCAAGCGTATGGTTCGCAGTTCCGTTGCAGCTGAGACCTTGGCAGGCCAAAACGGTCTTGATGCCATTGAATCCCTCCAAGCTTTGCTGAGTGAAATAATCTATGGAATAAGCCCCAAAGAGTTTAGGGATAGTAAACCATCCGTTCCTTCTGCACTTGTGATCGACAGCAAAGGTTTCTTTGATGCAGTGACTAGGAGTTGTTGTTCTCAATCCATATCAGTTGAGAGAAGACTCATGATCGACTATGCGATAGCCCGTGAAACCATGACCAATCAATGGATCCTTGCTTTCTGGGTCAACAATCTTCGCATGGCCGCTGATGTTCTCACGAAGCTGAAGGGTGATGCGAGACCACTCTTTGAAATCCTGGAAGGTGGAACCTACCAGATCAAACTGTGTACGGAATCCGGACGGAAAGAGACAGCCAAGAAAAAGGAAGAGCAGCCAGAGAAGCCATAGCCTTCACGATGATCCTGTACAGAGCCTCCCATGTATAGATAAGATGGTTATAAATAACCTGGGATTAAATAGCAGTGATGTATAGGGGGATAATCATAATAAGTGAATTTCCTTGGCACAGCTGTTTGCAATCCTGCAACCAAACTCAGAAGTTGTCAGCCACTTGTACAAATCATGATCCTTAGAAAAAAAAAATCAAGGGTGCTGCATGAGAAGTTTTCCGAAAGTTTTTCTTTTCAGCGTATCTCGTTTTGCCGCTTGTTTACCGGTGACTGAATATCAGATGAAAGCCGTTTTTGTATCCGAGTGTAGAGATCGCACCAACTGTGCAATTGCTGTTGCTGAGACATGAGTTCCAGCAAGACTGCCCGAACAGAGACTTTTCCCGATGGTCCTCTGTCGACGTCCGAGGTCTCCATGGCCAGTGGATTGTTGCTTCGTGCCGTGAAGCATGGGCAAGAGCAGCAGTTGATGAACGTGGTTCAAAACGCTCCAAGTGTCAAGCATCTATGGGTGAAAGGCGCCTCTGTCCTTTCAGATATTCGTGGACTCCTTCAAGGAGATGTTCCTTGTCCCTCCGGTATGTCGGATGCCTCCAAACGCCGATTGGATGTTGATGATGACATTCAGTCTTGGGAAAAGATGTCCGGATATTCTGAGGTCCCTGATGATGCGACCTACTTGGCAGCTTTGCCAGCCAGTGCTGGGATTCCACCGCCATACCCTGATGGCACCAGTCCTCTTCTGCAAGTGATGAAGGAAGCCGGCGATGACTCATCTATCCCGTTTCCAGATAAGGTGAAGTCAATTCATGCATGGGGGAATTGTGTTTGTAAAACAGATAAGTTTGCAAAAGAGAAGATCAGCTATTTCGAGTTGATCCACCGTGCCAAGACCGACACGGATGTATGCCAGTACTTGAATTTTATCAAAGGCCGCTTGGGCTACTCACCCGGAGTGACGCCAAATGATGAGAAGATCACCCCCGGCAAGGATCTTGCCAGGTTTTTGCAGAAGTATAAGTGGAATCCAACTGGTGGTCCAAAGGAGTCTTTCAGCCGAGACTTCAAATGAGCCAGTTATAAATGTAAGCTATAAAACCTCGTGGCAATAGTCGGCAAGAGGGCGTGAAAATTCCAACATGTGCTTCATATAGCTCTGCATGTTCCAGCCAGGTCCAATGTCATGTTGGCATCTATGCTGTTGCCTCTATTTGCCCGAGGGGCCCCTTGTGCCTGTTTTCAGGCTCGGATCTTTCGATGTGTGGCGCAATGGAAAAGTGACGCTGGTGCGTGATCCGAATTGGTGTGAGGGTTTACATTCCCTATTACAACCCAGTTGAATACTTCAACTCCATCTACCATTTCCGCATATATTATATAAATATATTATATTATATATATATCATATCATAAAGTATCATACAGTATTATATTGTGTCATGTTGTGGCTATATCTCAAAGGACCCAACCAGCAGCCAAGGCTGGCGCCATCTGACCCTAAGGCTCAGACCAGCATGCCTAGGGACTTCCGGGGGTTGTGGCCACGGTGTTCCGCCAACCTATCGCCGAGCCATGGACATCGACAGTCTTCAACGTCAGTGCTGACAGTGCTGACAGGGCTGACGGGGCTGAAAAATTGAGTGCGTTTGAATAATTAATTCCAAGAAGAATAGAATAGAACCACTGAATCAGACTGAAACTTACGTATTTCGTTTTTTTTGCCGAAATGATGACACTCCCTTCAACAGATTTCAATGGGGTGTCATCCATGGCTCCCCCCATGTGTCCCTGCGGCAAGCGACGCCACAGCTTTGTCTTCCACTTGATTCTCCTCGCGGTAAATTTAAGGACCGCACCATCTGGGTGCATAATGGGTACCAAGGTATGCACATATGTATACATATACATGTATCACATGTTTGTTATGTGTATATACATATATATATATACATTTATATCTTTATTGATTTATTCGCCTACTTATTACATTCAAGTTCTACTTACATATCATATAATAAAGCATATAACTAACCGTAGACTTGTAAATATCACACAATATCACGTGTTTAAATATTGGTATCACCAAACTTGTTGTGACCTGTCTATATTGTGTCTATGCACTACCAATGGAACCTGCTTTTTGTGATCCCCTTCATCCCTCTCCTTCATCCCTGTCGCTTCCACTGTAACGCGTGTCACTTCTCCCCGGTTTAAGGAAAGTGACCTGGGGCGGTTGGTTGCAGTAAACCCTTGGCTAAAATTGAATGCTCATTGAATCTCCGTGATGGATTTTCTGGCAAAACAAAAAAGCAAACATGATCTAATGATCTAATGACGACCCCGGATTGATAGACCCCGATTGATTACTTCGGTGGGTTCCAAAACAGGGACTTATTAAATACGTGGCTGTCTTTAGGGTAATATTTCATGAATTTCACAAAATGTTGGAGTACCAGAAGGTGCTATACTGGCTATTCTCTTAAAAATTATCCAATGCAAAGCAGAGTCCCCATCATTGCAAGACCAAAGGACGTCTGTAGAAGCCGAACATCCAGCAGTTCTTCCTGCCATCCGGCATGGTGGCGCGACCCCGTTTCTCCGCGGGCAGTCACTTCAGGGCAGTCCTGAAAAATACCTTCCTTGAATCTGCAATCTGCAAAGAACTGCCCATAGTATACATCCTTTTGGATCTTTTGGATTACTAGGACTAGGATCAAGTTGGTAACAGCCAACTCTTTGGATGTCTAGCCTTACCACTACCAGCGATGGGATGGGGTCAAAATCTCAAGGAATGGGAATTCCAAGGGTAGGTGGCATGATCAAAGGATCAATTTGTGCGTCCCATGTGCTTGGGAACCACCTGAGTCATAAGCTCTACTCAAGCATCCTATCGCAAGAATCGTTAACCTCAAAAATGCACCATGTTCAGGATGCTTCTTCCTGCAAGTACCTAAAAACTAATAACGCTAATATGATCTAATATGTACCTAATAAATTAGATTTGTATCTGAAGTGGTTCTTCAGAAGTTCGCAGCGCTGCATCCTCTACTTCGCATGTGGCGCAGGCTGCCGTGCTTCCACCTGGACATGGAAAGGCACTGGGAAGAAACCCATTTTTCATGGGAAACGATAGCAACATAACATGCCAAGCATTGTGAAGCCGTTGGCAATAAGAAAATATGAAAAACATATGAAAACCTCTGCATGCTCATAGGAAAATATAGGAATCATGCTGCACAGGGGGGATATGTGATATATCCATTGCCAGCCACCGGTGCTGAGTCAGGCACTCAAAGTCTCAGCCTCAAGGTGAGAAGCACATCATCCACGCAAAATAAAAAGACCTTCAATGATGTTTCCTTCCGGAACATATATATACATTTTATATATATATATGGAATTCCAGGGGTCTTCCTAGGAAAATGATAAATTAGGATATGTAACCATCGTTGTGTAACTTAATGTTTGAAAATCCAACATGCTGTTCTGTCGTTTCGAAACAAGCCAGTCGTGCAAGAAAAGAGCAATTGGCAATGTACAACTTGGGGACATGACGATGCTCACATTGAAGATATGGGTTTGTCTAAACATGATGACCATTTGATATTTCTATACCCATCGCTACCCCCAACAATCATAACAATCAAGAGAGTTGACCACAGTTGATCATATTGTTCCCATATCCCATCAAATTGGCCAGAAATTTGGGCATGTTAGTGGGATAGTATGTCATAATAATGTCATACTAGTAATATATATATATAATTATATAAATATAATTATATATATATGCAATGTCTATATTTAACATATCCATTCAAATAATTCCATTATATTCCATTCATATCCCACGTTCATCCATTTTCAGACTTGCCCATGTTAGATCTTGCCATTCTGGGATTCAATTTCTTGCCTTTTGAATTCGGCTCAGCTGCGATGGCCAGTTGCCAGCATCCAAGGGTGAAAACGAGGAATCGATGGGTTGCCATGCCGGGACTGGACGCCTCGTGGCAAATTTCGGGCCAGCACTGGGTTGAGCTGCGTCCACCCTCCCATCCAGGCCTTGAACACAAATCTTGAGAAAAAAATCGGATTTCGGCCACGAAGAGGATGCAAATATATGCAGGTGCGGGCGTCAGAGGGATTTCTGTTTGCCCCACGCCCCTGCCTTCCGAGCCAAAAGGCAATGTGGCAATGAGAGATAATGCAAGCTGAGCTGCCAGTTCCCGACCAAAAATATCAAGAATGACCAGGTGATATTTGTACCGGATGCCGATAACATCCGATTTATTGCTAATGACAGTGGGTTCCTGTGGCCCAGCAGTCAAGAATGACCAGTTGCTGAATTCCGGTGATCTGCTCCCCAAACATGCCACAGTTCGTGGTCTGCTGGACCCTTCCCTATAGGCGAACAATTGCAATGGACTGCAGCCGGCATCCGATTGCAGTGGGCAAAAGTATGGGCAAAACATGTACTGGTTTCCTTCAAATAGAGTCCGAATCAAGAGGATGGTTCGTCAACGTCGTAGCATGTCTGAGGTTCCCTCCGCCCCCAAAAAAACGATTCTTCAGCGATCCCAGCTGCAACCCCCTTGACTATCCATGTGTTTTTCCACCGCTTGCACATGCTGCGCAGACTGGAACCCGATTGGGAGGTCTGGGTAACTCTTTCCAAGAGCCCACCGCTAGTCTTAGTGGCTTTGTGTCGGAATTAGGATACTATATAGATAATCAGGGGCTGACACAAGTAATGTACCCTGTGCAGCACCATGTTTTTTTCTGTGATCCCCTCATTTTTGACACATACCCACATGACTGAAACGGAAATCACCGGCAAAATGTGACGTAGCCCCTGAAAGTAACAAACCACTAGGTGTGAACGTGCCTGCTTTGGTGATTTGGCTATTCCATCTCAGTTTTGAGGTGAGTGGCTACTGTATCCATTGTTTTGGAACCTCTTCTCAGGTCTCAACGTTCAGGGGAAGTCAGAAATTTAAACCAAAACGCCCAGGAAGATCGGCAACCGACCCCCTTTTGGATCGGAAGGACCCAAAAATGACACGCAGCGAAGCCAGAGGGAAATCCAGGGAAGCACTTTTTAATTCAGCCCAAGAACGGCAAGTTTACGCCTTTCTCACATTTTGTGCAACATAATCCAGTGGATTCCTGCTTGTTCTTGGCATTGTATCACTGGCCGACAGAAGGTTTTCCCTTACGCAGAAAAGCGCCGGTTCAGATTCGGATCCATCTGCGGGCGCCATCCCAGGTGTCAATTAGCTGCAAAGCTACAGGCCCTGCTCTAGTATTGGATTCTATTGACGTTGGAGCCTCTATATATATATATAAGTGGTAAAAAAAATATATATATACACATAATAAATATGTATATATATAGAGGCTATTATAGGCTATTATTTAGGGTGTCTAGTGTTTAGTATCAGATGTATCAGGGGGACGGAATTATATAGTGCAGGTTGAACACACCCTCCCCACGTTCCAGCTACCTCACCTGCATCTTGCTGGCAGTAATCAGTGGGTTGGGCGGCTTCCGTCCACGGCTACTGTGGGGAGCACCTGATTTCCCAACAATGGGGATGCAACCAGCAAATTATGTGGTGCCATTGGGAAACCATTCCCATTTCCAGGTCACTGGGTTGTGTAAACTATTCCTGATTGGCAGATTGGCAGGACTTTATGATTGGGTTCATCAGATTACTCATCACAATGAGGTCATGCGTTGTCTTTTGGGATTCATTTTTTCGGAATGTGAGGGATAGATCTATGAATGAACATCTGTCAGTGAGCCAGAATCTACCCTCTGGTAAACAAACATAGCTATTGAAAACGGCCATTTATAGTTGATTTACCCATTAAAAATTGTGATTTTCCATATGTTAGTTTACCACAGGGTATAGGTAATGTGATGTTTAAAGAACATCTCGTCCGAGAAAAAGGTCGGCTTTTTTCAGGGAACTCGAGACGATGCCATCTCCAAACATTCAACCCAAGTGACACTTCCTACATCCTAATTACTCACCTAACTACTCTTAGACCATCGAATATGGGTTTGTCTCGTTGTGTCTCAAGATTTATATAGAAACCTCACTAGTTTTTTTTTAAAAAAATCTCGATGTTAAACAACTTGATCATCCATTTCTCCACTAAAAAAAAACAGTCGAAAGGGCCCGGACCGGTGTTGCCATGCATCCGGCTCCACATCCTCGAACAATCGAACAATTGACCCCGTTTTTGGAAGGAAAATGGAACATCATTGAAAATCAATTGCAGCCGCCAACCGGTAGCATACTCGAAACAAATGGACATAGATGGACATAGAGTCTTTCGTTGTTTTCCCTGTTCGATTTTGTGGTCAGCTCTTGAGGAGATTTCTATGGATTTCTGCCAAGTCTCCCTTCAAATCATGCTGGGATTGGTGATTCAAAGCAACCATAAGCGACCAAAAACCAGCCAGTCAATTAACATCCTACCATATAGAGGATTGCTATTTGTAGACCACTTTCCTTTGGAAAGAAACCCATGAGATTCTATATATGTGAACCCGAGGGTGGCAAAGCCTCTCCCTGCAAGGCGATGCAACCAGGCAGCTCACTGGCGTCCCTTGCCCCCAACTCATCCAAGCTGCTTCGCAGGATTGTCATCGTTCCCAGTGTCCCGCATGGTTTTCAGAAGGACCTCGCACCTGCGAGGGAAACACCGACGCCTCGACGCCCTCAGCTTGGAAGAACACGCACACAATCATACGTTTCGTAAGTCTGAACCAGAAATTCTCATGCATACCGCAAAAAAAATTGGAACCGCTCAATTTTGGGAATCTCCCACCTCACCTCACCCACCACAAACTTTTTGCAGGGCTGCTTCGCAGTTGACCCTGCGTCTCCAGCTGACCCCTTTGGGTGTCAGCGGCCCTACCGGGTTACCCGCCTCTGAACACGCAAGACTACTTTGGCACTTGGATGACAATCTTACACTAGAAACAAAAAATGATGAGGAATATGTAGTGACCCTTAGTAACCCTGCAAATGAGTCTTGGGAATTGGATTGAAGCAATATATAACTATAATTGTATGCATGCAGTGACAGTGATATTGATTTCATTGTCTATTTATAGTTGATAACTCGTAAGCTAAAAGTCATCATATGATGATTTCTAAACAGCGAATCACGAACTGGGTATGGATATGTATGGATCAAAATCGGACAAACTAGAAGTTCATGGCTTATAATAGGAAAATCACGCATTCCATTTGTGGTTCCCAACGAGGTCTGAATCTTTGACCCATACTCTGAAACTCAGTTTGCCCCGGGGCTCAGAGACGTAGATGCGGACAGTACGGGGTCTTTGTCTTGTTCCTTGGGCCATGACGGCCCATGAGGTCACAACAAAAAAAAACGTGGAATTTGATGGAATATGGATTCCCACAATGGGGTATATACCCCAAAATGGATGGTTTACAATGGAGAACCTGTCTATAACCTGTCTATACATGGGTGATGTGGGGTTACCGCCATTTTAAGGAAACCTCCATATAGTGAAATTGAACCGGGTACCCATGGGAATTCTCCCCGACATTTTGGGAGAAAAAAACAGCAACATCAGACTGTCTGAGACCAGACCAAATTTACCAAGAACTCAAAAAGACCCTCGCATACATGCACTGATATAGAATGATATGTTTCTGTACTTGCTTCATATTGCCCAAAATATCTTTGATCCTTTGCTCGGGTTTGTAATTGTACTGCAACATCTGCACAAATGGTTTCAACATCAACCCAAAACACGACAACATACAGTAGACGCTCTGACCCCAGCAGTGATGGTCGTGTCGCCTGTGATCTGACTGCATCGAATGGTTTCTTTCCGGAATTGTTAGAAATGATATGAAATGATTTATACTACCGGTTTCTGGAACACGTTGACCTGCCGGAACATTTGAAAGGGGTAACATTAAAACACTGATTTCCTCGTGTTTTTGCTGCACATCTTCCCTTACACCAACCCAGTGCTTCAGTGCCTTTCAGCCGCTTCAGCCCGGGCTCATGTGATCCACAAAAAGGCAAACGTCACAGGACTGCTTTCCAAACTTGTCCACAGGTTTCTGAGCAGTTCTCCATCTGGAACCATAGATTTGGTTGCCTTGGCTGAACATGTTTGCGTTTTGGTTTGCTTAGAGTTTGATTGCAATATCCAGAAATCTCAGGCAAACCATCAGTTTGTGATCATTTTCTATAGCCCTGACAGTCCTTGACCACCCCAACGTTGCTCCCCAAGCTACAGGTCATGGGCACCACAAAGTTTGGCGCCGACGCAGGTGCTGGCGCTGGTGCTGAAGGCTGAAGGCTGCGCCCCGAAAAAGTCGACAACTGAATGGCTTGGCGGCCGGAAGCCGCAAGGGCGCCATCCTGACGTCACGGATTTTTTGTTTGCGGAAACTCAAAAGATTGAAGAGAAGTAACACCTATAATGTGTCTATGAATTGATCCTAGCGTGTATGTGATTTGCAAATTGAATTCTATAAACTGCGTGTGTGTGTGTGCGCGTGTGTGTGTGGAACGTCTGAACAGACGAAAAACTTCGTCCGTGGCTCATCATATTATATATTAAATTAAATTCTATTATATTAAATCATATTAATATTACATTTACAGCAGGGGGTCACCGGGGTCCGGGGCGGTCGGTGACCAATGAAGACACCTCCCCGGGACCCGTGAAAACGTACCTGCTGGGCTTTGGTGGTGCACCTGGGCGCATTTAAGTCGCAGCTGGTGGCCACCATAGCCCATATATATATATATATGTAACTAATCTAATCTAACTGCACGTTAGGGGACTCAGTTCCCGACGGATCTCTTAAAAGATCCATTCTTGTCTAGTGTGATTTCCATGGTGACTCCGACATGGTGCCATGGAGCCATTGGAGGCATCCCTTTTTAGGGAGACTGTTGACTGACTAGACTTCTGAATTTACACATTTTAATCTTGTAATTCGTCTAAGTAATGTGAAACAGTCGGCCATACCGTTCTTCAGAACTTCAGCCTTTTTTGTGAAGTCCCGCTGTTCCGGCCGTCCTTTGCGAATCTTTGAAATCTGCACTCCCTGCTTGCGAAGCCGTACCGAACCACCACAAACTCCCTTTTCGCCGCTGTCCAAACTGTTTGCAATGCAACATGTCGCAGAGGCAACCGGCATGTCCTTTTCCTGCAGGTGCGGTCACTTTGGTTTCTGGTGAGGTCAACCTTTGTGCACTTAATTCATCGAACTTGAACAGCCGTTTATGCCCATGCGGCTTGACTTGACCACGGTCCCGGTTGGGAGTAACGCACGACTCTCTAGGTCTAGGTGTGAACTGAGTCCCCCTTAATCGTTGTTGTTTTTTCTGTTTCACCAACTAGTCCGGCATTTAGGTTGGTTCAGGCGCTTCCGTCTTCCCCCCCCCTCCGCTGGTCTTGTTCCGTGTCCGTCGGCCTCCGTTTTTCTTGCCCTTTCAGCGTTTGCCCGCTCCGGGCCAGGTGTGTTGGTGTGTGTTTGCTCCTTCCCTCTTCTTTTGCGTTCCCCTCCTCGGGTCCCGGTTAAGTAATCTTTCATCTCATCATCATCCCCCTTCTCATCCTCATTTTCACCTCATGTGCCCGAACACCACCCTGCCAAAGGCAGGGTGTGTGTGTGTGGAACGTCTGAACAGACGAAAAATTTCGTTCGTGGCTCATCATATAATATATTATATATTATATACGATATTATATTATACCTTAAAGCAGAGGGGTCACCGGGGTCCCGGGGCGGTCGGTGACCAATGAAGACACCTCCCCGGGACCCGTGAAAACGTACCTGCTGGGCTTTGGTGGTGCACCTGGGCGCATTTAAGTCGCAGCTGGTGGCCACCATAGCCCATATATATATATACCTACTGAGCAAAATACCTACTTTTTTTAAGGTTAAAATATTAAAACCAATCTATTTTTAGGTTAAGATATAAAAACATAGGTTTATTTAAAAAAACCTATGTTTTTTTTATATTCCCTATTTTAAGCAGATTCAATGGATACTTAAGTGGGTATTTGCTCAGTAGGCAACACATTGAGTTCATTCTAACCATTCAGGATGGAGACCTGATCGTGCCTGAGGCGGCTCAACACATCTGAGCATGACGTTTTTGGGAAATGAATCCCAACATTGGATTGTAAAGATAATGTAAGATATAAACTTAATGAGAACAACTATGGAGAATTTGGCACAATGATTCCATTGTGATATATTATAACGTAAAGATATGATGAACATAGAGATTCAGCGGTGACCTTGAAACCATCAATGGCATATATTTCTTGGGGTAAGCTTTTTGATCATGGCATCCTAAGTCTTTACCCTTTATCGCATTGATCCCATGGCTCCCTTGGCACATGTGGCTATCATGATCAACTTCCTGACTAGCGCACCCAGCCCGGACGCCCAATTTTTGGTCTGGGTGGTGACAGTTGTTGTCGCTGTTGTGTTGCCTTGGCTGATTGCAGTGGATGGGCCACTTTGTGGATTGAAGGAGTCTGTAACCCCCTTGCTGATTGTGTAGCACCTCAACCAACATATTCCTAGCATTTTGGGGTTCAAGCGTTTGAGGTTAGCTCCGCTTGCAATGGAGTGCGTGGGGCTAGCTTTGGAGTGGGAAAAAAATCCTGATATTCGATCCCGTTTGAGAGAAAAGGGGTACTTTTTGGAAGTCCCAGTGGGTGAAGAGATTTGCAAACCAAACCGTACCAACGCAACCAGCAATGCTATGGTTCTCAATCCGGTGTTGGAAAGACTTTCCAATGCCAATGGTCGTTTGCCGCACCTTGACCCTTTGAAGCTAGAGGTGGCCAGTCTTTTCCAGAAATGTGGTTGTTCTGCGCTTGGGGAAAAAGCAGTCTACAAGGCAAGCGTTGAACTCAAGCAGCTAGCAGGGTTCGTGAAGAGGCGCTGCTCAAGGAGGGAAGTCACCAAGGAACGGGCTCATGGGTTAAAACTGCATTTCCAAAACAACATTAAATCATTAAAACATAATGTTATGTTACAATAGTAGGATGTTTCATTCAAACATGTCTTTGTTGGGGGTTCGCACTGGCATAGCAACAATGTTGCCTGCTGCTATTCCCGTGCCATGACCGCCCTGTCAGGATACAGACTTTCATGCCTTGTTGCTGGTTTTGGACCCAACCATCCAGGACAGGTTTGCCCTGGAGACTTAAGGAAAACACCTGATGATCCATTAATTATGCCATTATGCCATATTATGCCAACATCATAACTGAACCCAGTGGTTTAAAAACAATCATACCATAATGCCTTAAAATATAACCAAAGATTTTTTTCAATCTCACCTCCAAATATTGGAACGCCCTGCAGGAACACATTGACAAGTATTTGGCCTCATGCAAACGTACCGCGGGTCTTTGGGGTGATGAGTCTGATGACCCCGTGGATGATGATGATGACGAAAAAGAGATCCATGAGTTGGAGAAATGGTTGGGAGAACAACAGGTTGCCCCAGCAGCTGTTCCACCTCTTGGTTCGGTCAAGGATGGCCAGGGGCGGTGCGTTGATTGTGGGTGGTCCCCATGCAAATGCAATTTGACTTAAAATATATGGTTGATTTTTTCCCCACAAGTCATATGGTGTTCCCACTATACTGTTAAGTTATATCCCTTCATCCTTTTCACACGTCTTCCCTGTCGGGTGCCAAGGTGCTCAGCTAGCCTCTCAGCGCCGGGAGCTGATGAAGAAGATCCAGGAGAAGAAAGCCTAGCTCCAGAAGCAGCAGGACCAGACGCTTTTCTTAGTTTGGCCGTGGACGGGTTTTGAAGTGCCAGCTATCTAGTCAAACAAATCATCCGATCGTCATGCAACATGTAATTTTTCCGGAAAAAATGGAAAGCATTTAATATGCAAATCCTTGTTATGAAATTATTGTGGATCTATATAATTGTTTGGAGATGTTTAGATCAAACAGCCCCTTTTCTAAGGAAGGATGCAGATCCAGCTGTGAACCCTGCTTGCCGTCCAGCCCCAGCTCATCCCGCCAAGAAAGGCCAGGGGTGGGTGCCGCCTGGTTTTTAATGATACATGGAAAAACATCACATGGATCTACCTATTGCTGCCATCAGCATACATCAGCGTGGACAATATGTATTAAATATATGGTCTTACATGGACATTACTTGACATTATTTTCATGATTCAGTGCCATGGCATGAGCGCTGCACTTTTCAAAACATGGATAGTAGCAACAGCATCTTGACTTGAGATAAATGTGTACACTATATGATTGGTTTATTTGTTCTTTTGTCAAATAATATTTGGTACTTATAGATGGTTGGATTGTCCCGTGGTTACATGGTGTAGCTTTCTCATGATGGATGTCAAATGTGACTTGCGTAGGCTTTGTTCCTCTTCCACCGTCTTCTGGCCTACCTCAATTTGGTGGAGACCATGATGAGACGCAACCTTTTGGTGAGTCTGAGGTTTCTGATGCAATTGCAGGTGCTTTCAACTTGGTAATGCCCTTGGATCCAGTGGACTCAGTGGAAGCCGATGAGACACCAGCAGCCCCTCAGGCTACCATTGTCGATTTGATCTCATTATGTTCCACGTGTTTGGCAAATGAGCCAAGGTTCCTAGATTTTTTTCAGACCATAGTCGTTTCATGTGAACTTATCTGATTCCCAGTGTTCTTTGGTTTGATTGTGGCCACCATCCGGATAGCTATGTTCACATAGTGCTTTTTCAATTTGTTCAATAATCAAGACAGTTGGGCTTCATCTGGGTCTACAAAGGTTGTCACTGACCATGGCTTTATCATGTTAACCTTCTGCCACATTGCCATCCAGACCTTCCGGCCCTGCAAGGTGCTGACGCGCCGAGACCAGCTGAAGTTGAAGGAATCGAAGATCGCGGAGAAGGAGGAAGCCAAGAAAGCCAAGGCAGCAACTTCGAAGCCAGCGGCGAAGCGTAAGGCTAAGGCTAAGGCCTTGGCCAAGGCAGAGGAGGATGAGGCCAGTGAAGAAGGTGTGAATGAGGACAAGGATGTTGAGCCCATGGCGAAACCGAAAGCCAGAGGCAGAAAAAGAAAGGGAAATCAGGACAATGACGAGAACGCAGTTGAAGAAGAGCCGGAGCCAAAGAAACCGAAGAAGAAAGCGCAGCCCAAAGCGAAGTCTGAGCAGCCGAAGTCCCGTGGCAGAGCCAAGGCCAAGCCTTTGCCAAAGGACCCAGAGGAGGAAGATGATGACGTTGTGCCGTCCCAGCCCGAGCTTGATTCTGACATGAAGGTGGATGAGGTCAAGCACGAGGCTGCCCCTAAGAAAGCACCAAAAAGAAAGGCAAAGGCACCCAAGACTGAGAAACTTGAGAACACAGATGCTATGAAGG